GTGATTGTTTCAACTACAACAATCAAGTTCTTGACCTGCACCTCACTTATCATTTCAGCCATAGGACGTCCACTGCTGCTGAACATAGGCCTCCCCCAATGATTTCCACAATGGCCGGTTAGCATCTCACTCACCTAATCTTGGTGATTAGGCTGAAGGTGGCACACTATTTCACACGCTTTGTGATGAGACAAGATACTGTCTCGACTACACGCGACACCACGCTCTTGGAAAGCTAAGCGGTAACAACAACAGAAGCTAAAATATAAAATTCTACACATCACCAATATCATTTCAATCAGTACAGAACTAGACGTAAGTCTCGTTGAGCAGCACTTTTTTCATACAGCCATCTGCAGTCATCAGTATATCGAATGATGGAATGTCCTAAGAAGTTATGTGCAGTGTTGAGACAGCGTATAAACACCAATTTTGAACTATTTTTGACAAATAGTAACCATGATCAGTATGATGTGTACTCACATGTTTGCTATGCTATACATGGATTTGTTTATTCATAACTAATCTTTGTCATTGCAACCCCACAGGGCTTCACTCCCCTCATCCTGGCAGCGACGGCGGGCCACGAGAAGATCGTCGAGATCCTCCTCAACCACGGCGCCGACATCGAGGCGCAGTCCGAGCGCACCAAGGACACGCCGCTCTCGCTGGCCTGCAGCGGCGGCCGCTACGAGGTCGTCGAGCTCATCCTCAGCCGCGGCGCCAACAAGGAGCACCGCAACGTGTCGGACTATACGCCGCTGTCGCTCGCCGCGTCGGGCGGATACGTCAATATCATCCGGCTGCTGTTGCACCACCAGGTTAAACCAATAATTATGAATAGGACCGATTCGTTTCTGGAACTTGACTGAATGACTGGAGCGGGACTCTGGCTTCGCTCGCTCGGCTCGTGCGTTGTGGTCACAGTTCTAACCTAACCTAAACCAATAATAATGAATAGGACCGATTCGTTTCTGAAACTTTAATATATCGTCAAAGAAAGAAATCTAAACAAAAAAGATATGACTTTGAATAATAGTGTAAAATATGGTTATGTTGAGGAAATCTAGAAGAACAAATAAAAGTATAATAGATGTTTATTGCTAATGACATTATGAAGTTGAATGATTCGGAATTATGAACATTAGAGACAGAGTAGTTAGGAATTGTGATTGTTAGGATGAAAAATTTTAGGAAGAACATTTTCGGACTTCCAATTTTCGGAGTTGAAAATTTAGGTGAACTTTGGCGCACCCGGACGCAGGTTAAATGCCTTGATTTGACTGAAGCTTTTTAATTCACAGTGTATTTATTCATTCAAGTGTTAAGCCGGTCGCCGTGCAAATAGAATTTCGTGCAATGACCCTAAGCTACCGATCGCATAGCTTGGGGTAAGGCCCTGAACAGACGGTGAAACGAAACTGCAACTTTCTGATGATTCTGATGAATGAAACTGAAAGTTTCAAACTGGTCGCGTCATGTGTGGTCTCTCAACGGACGCTATGGCAGAAACTTAGATGCAACTCAAAAGTAACTAGCAGTTGCAGTTTCGTTGCGTTTCACCGTCTGTTCTGGGCCTAATGAGGGCTATCGTTTTTATACTTGACAGTTGGCACTCCTGGCGATTGACAGGACCTTACTCTACAGTGGCGCCATCTTGATGAGTGCAAATGCGATAGTCCTCCTACCACTTTAGCGCTCACAAGTTGGTGCCACTGTCTTCGCTACTAGCAAGTGACAGGACCTTACTCTACAGTGGCGCTAACTGGTGAGCGCTAAAACGATAGCCCTCATTGTACGAAATTCTAAATTCTCTTTAGCTTGACTGTCGCGTAAAACTTGACTATACAATACGTTCTGTCACAGGCGGAGATCAACTCCCGCACGGGCTCGAAGCTGGGCATCTCGCCGCTGATGCTGGCGGCTATGAACGGGCACACTGCGGCCGTGCGCCTGCTGCTCGACTGCGGCTCCGACATCAACGCGCAGATCGAGACCAACCGCAACACCGCGCTTACGCTCGCCTGCTTCCAAGGTATTTAGGCTTATCTTGTGTCAACTAGAGCAGGGTTTCCCAATTTTTTTTTGCCAAGGAACCCTAATTGATTATACTTTTCCTAGCGGAACCCCCGTACTACTCCGCCCGGACGCACTGCCTCTCCCTTGTGCGTAAACAAGTCGGTGCGAGCGAACAACGTCGGTCACGAAACGCGGGATAATATTTTTTACGGAACCCTTGCGGCCTTACCACGGAACCCCAGGGTTACGCGGACCACCATTCGGGAACCGCTGAACTAGAGGGTGTCCACTGCGGGACAAAAAGGGAGACGTTACACAAAGACCGGTCCTGCGCTGCTAGCATTTTGGTGCTTATCGCGATCTTCGATCGTCGATCCACTGAGTGAGACGCCTATTACATTTGAAAGTCCATGATCGTCATTCGAGAACTTTTTCGCCCCTACGCAGAATAGTTCTACGAGCTATGCGCCCTGCCCACTGCCAATTTTATTTAGCCAATCTGTAGGATACGTTATGGAAATCCTTGGGGGAGCAGTGGACGTCATTTAGCTGAAATGAACGAACGAGGAACGAGCACGCTCCTTTGATTTTTTATACAAGATAACTTTCTTGTAACAGTTGTTTCCTTGCTTTACGTAAAACTTTAAAAATATGCCTCCACTCTAATCCTAAATTCTTTAGAAAGTTCCATCGATGTAAACAAACACTTGTGAAAATTTAATTTTCCTTTGATTAAGAAGATCCTATTTTGACGATCACATTACTGATCTCAACATCAATCAGAAGAGGGATTGATCTTAATAATTATACAAACGATCTTTGAAAATCTAATAATCGTCTGTTGCAGTCCGTAAATGTGACATTTACAGAATTGCGTTTAACGAGAGATTTTGTCGCATCACTAGTAGATCAACTGACATAGACTAAAAATTCGTCAATGTCAGTTGGCCATATTTGTTTACATTTAGGGAAATATCTAAAGAATTAAGGTATAACGTAACTCATTCCTCGCTCAGGCCGGCACGAGGTTGTGAGCCTGCTCCTAGACCGCAAGGCGAACGTGGAGCACCGCGCCAAGACGGGGCTCACGCCGCTCATGGAGGCGGCCAGCGGCGGCTACGTCGAGGTGGGCCGCGTGCTGCTGGACAAGGGCGCCGACGTCAACGCGCCGCCCGTGCCCTCCTCGCGCGACACCGCGCTCACCATCGCCGCGGATAAGGGACACACCAAGTTCGTCGAGCTGCTGCTGCAGAGGTGTGTATATCTACTCATTAAGTACTAAACCAGTCTTTCCCAAAGTGGGCGATAACGCCCCCTTGTGGGCGCTGCAGGATTAAAGGGGGGCGGTAAGAGACCCAGAAAAAAAATCGGGACGTTGTGTAGAGGCTTGGGAGGCGTCATCTACTAGGAGGACTCTTAGACACCGAGTGAGCTCGACTCTTGACTACAAAAATGGGCGCTAAAAATAATTTATTCTCAAAGTGGGCAGTAGACTAAATAAGTTTGAGAACCGCTGTACTAAACGAATGATCAAAACAATTTAAAACGGATACACCACATTCCTCATGAGTCTACACAAGAGAGAGAAATCGTAGCGGGAAACCGTGCGCAATGCAAAATAGCTACGTTTGAAATATGTGCCTTACAGTACGCACTGTCGGCAACAGTGTTAACTACCCATTGCCGGTCATGTTGTCTTGTTCTATCGCAAAGAACCACCATTTGATGAGAGCGAGAGCAAAAACCGAAATGGATTGTTAACAATAGCATAATATTTTTTTTCTTTGTATTCCTATCGTCACTCATTTCAGACTAGGTCTAGATATCTCTAGGTGCGACTTGGCGTCCCGTCTAAATCCTCCTCCTCCTCCTCCATTTTTTTATCGGACCATTTGGGCGGTTTATTGTAAAAAATACAGTCAATTACAAAAGTACACTCAATCATAAATGAGAAATATAAAAATGTGGATTGTATTTATGTAAATTCAGTAACTTGTCATAGCACACTCATTAGGGCACTTGCTCGTTATTGACTTGTGTTAGGATTGTGGGGTTACAGCACATACTTATAATCAATTTCATCATATTTATCTAGTTTCCTTTACAAAAATCTAACTGTAATCCCCCAGGCGAGCGGCGGTAGAGGTGAAAAACAAAAAAGGCAACTCCCCCCTGTGGCTGGCGGCCAACGGCGGCCACCTCACAGTCGTCGAAATGCTCTACGCAGCCGGCGCGGACATCGACTCGCAGGACAATAGAAAGGTGACGTCACCAAACAGAATAAACAAATGAAGTTAAAATGTCTAAGGGCTGATTTTTCCATCTTCTGATAACTTTTATCTGAAGAATAAACTTGTCATTTTGACATATTTCCCATACTGAAACTGTCAATATGTCAAACTTATTCTTCGGTTAAAAGTTATCTGATGATTGAAAAATCAGCCCTAAGGAGATGAATGGCAGAATGATATTGAAAATTGATATTTAATTGATTGCTAAACTGTTAATTTATATTTCAGGTTTCATGCCTAATGGCCGCATTTAGAAAGGGCCATACTAAAGTAGTTAAATGGATGGTAGGCGTAGTTACGCAATTCCCCTCTGACCAGGAAATGACAAGGTTTGTATTACTAACGTTACTTAATACTTTATATTTTTCATTACTTTATCTTTCAGTTTTGGATAGGCTGTATAAATGTAGGATGTAAAACTTATTGTGGCAAGAAAATTTTAGTAGTGTGTAATTATGGTTACGTTAATGCATTAGAATTTGTCTTTTTATGTAAACCCTTGACTAACAATGGTGACCGAGTTTCTGGCGCTGCTTCTCAACATTGGCTAATTTATTTTCCCGAAGCAGTGGTAGAATTAAAGTAATACTGAGATGTCTAAAGCTCTATTTAAAAAAAAACATGACATGATCAGATTTTTTATGAATTGATTGTTCTGTAACTGGAGCCTGATAATAATGGCATTACGTTCGTCAGGTACATCTGTACAATATCGGACAAGGAACTCCTCGAGAAATGCCAGGAGTGCGTGCGCGTGATCCGCGCGGCCAAAGAGACGCAAGCGGCGCGCGCCAACCAGAACGCGACCATCTTACTCGAGGAGCTGGACGCCGAGCGCTGCCGCGAGGAGACGCGCCGCCAGGCCGCCGCGCGCCGCCGCGAACGCAAGAAGAAGAAGAAGATGGAGAAGAAGGTCGGTACTACGCAGGCAGTGAGTATTGACAGCTGAGCTCGGGGTAGTTGACACTTGACATACCAGTCAGTTTACATACTTTTGATGATCAAAACCAGTTTATGACATCACCAAATCACAAACTCAATGAGGGTAATCGGTTTCGCGCTCACCAGTCGGCGCAACTGTAAAGTAACGTGCTGTCTCGAAGCGCTGGTAGGGCCCAAAAGATAAGGAGACATGTAAAGTGCCCCATAAGGGCTACCTTTTATTTTTTTGACGTTCATAAGTGCCACTTGTAGTCTAAACTGAATAAATGATTTTAATTTTGTCACTCGCTAGTGGCGCCAACTGGCCCTGAAGCGGCAGAAGGACTATAGAATTTGCACTTACCAGGAAGAACCCACTGTAGAGTAAGGTCCAGTCTCTTGCCAGTAGTGACAACGGTTGTGTACAAAAAACGATAGCCTTCATTGACGAATTAACTCGGTTTTCAGCGCTAGATTGAAGTTTTTTTTAAAAGTTGTGTCTTCAAATACTATAATGGTTACTGGTGTCAACTACCCATTAATACGCGGGTCTTATCGATTCGCATTTCATCCGGGGTACGATGTAATCTGACCGCCATGTGTATCAGGAGGAACGTCGCAAACTGCAGGCGGAGAACGACAAGAATTCGATGTACAGCGAGAAGGCGCTGGGCGAGTGCTCCGAGGGCGGCGAGCCCGACGACGAGCCCGCCGCCAAGGAGGAGGGCGACTCCGGCATCGACGCCAACTCGCAGGTACGCACACGCACACTATATTATCTATACTTATAATAAATCTGTAGAGAGTTCAATTCTGTACATAAAATATATTTTCAAAATAACTATCAGAGGGTGATTAGTGATCGATACTGATGCCAAAAATGCAATCAGTAAAATTTTTGTCTGTCTGTATGTTCCTTATAGAAACAAAAACTACTCGACGGATTTTAACGAAACTTGGTACAATTATTCTTCATACTCCTGGGCAGGTTATAGTATACTTAGGAGTATCCCACGGGAACGGGAATTAGCGGGAAAATCCTTTTGTATGAAAAATCTAAACCGCTTAAGTTAGACGCTTGAAATTTGGCATGCAGGTACCTTAGTAAACTTAAAGCTTAGTTACAACAGGCTATTGCAAAATTCCCACGGGAACGGGAGTTAGTGGGAAAAAACATTTGTATGAAAAAATTTAAACCGCGTAAGATAGATGAAAGGGGTAAAACGGGATCCACGCGTACGAAGTCGCGGGTTGCCGCTAGTCTATACTAAGAAGCCTCTAAACATACATAACAAAGAGTTTGTTTGCTTGAACGCGCTAATCTCAGGAACTACAGACAGTGGTCCGGGTTCAAAAAATATTTTTGTGTTGGATAGCCCATTTATCGAGGAAGGCTCTAGGATTCTAGGCTCTACAACATCACCCTACAGCCAATAGGGGTGGAACAGTAAAGAAAAATGTTGCAAAAACAAGAATACTAAGGCTTGCCAATACTAAGGTCCTCTGTTGCGTGAAATTGAATCCTCACGCGCATGTTTACGTTTAGTGAAATACTTAGAATATCGCACGGCACGATAGTGGATGTCCTCGACGTTCGCTTCACGCAATGGATGCCCTAAAATTACATTGCCAGTGGATGAAACTAGCGTAAAGTTCCTGCTTTTGAACTTTTTCATTGACATATTGTAGAAAATTGATGTGTTGACTGTACTTACTTCTTTTACGGCTACATATTAATATTATTATTTTTGCACAGGGCTCATGCTCTTCCTCGGATGTGAAAGCTCCCCCCGCGCAAAACACCAAGTGCAAAAAGAAGAAGAAAGAGGAGAAAACGCCCCCACCACCTGCAGCCAGCAACAAGAAACAACCTGACAAAGTAAGTGGTAGTAACCAATAAATCATCTGTATCAACTTTCAGTCATTTTATGCCTTTAAGAATAGACTAAAGGCTTCCACAGACCAAACGCAGGTCAGAAGCAGTGCGGGTCAGTTGCAGCGCGGCTGAGGCACACTGAAAGCAGCGCAGTTTCAAAGCAGTTGCAAAGCGGGCGGTTGTCAAAAATTTTAATATTCGAAAACCGCTTTCAACGCGCTGCTACCGCCCTGCGTCCAGTGTGTCATGCTAATATGGCCGCCATAGTAATACAACAGCGCGGGCCCGCGTTCATGCCGCTTCTGTCCCGCACCCGCGCCGCCTCGTTTGTATTTCAGGCTTTCAGCAGATGCAGTGCGGCGCGGTTGGAGCGCGGGCCCGCGTTCAAATTTGGTGTGACATACTTCAAAGAGTTTCTTGTATTACAACTTGCGCCCGCATTCAAACTGCCCTGCGTTTGGTCTGCCCAAGGCTTTAATGCGCACAGTTGTAAATCCGTTGTGGCATATAAAACTTGCAAAAGAATGTGCCTGCCACTTTATTTATCAGAAATACGTATAGATACGTACAGATATATGTATCTTTTGCAGCCGACAAAACCCAAACTAGAGACAAAGCCAGAGAAGGAGAGCACCCCCAAGGCGGATAAGAAAGAGAAGGAGAATGTCGCGCCTGCATCCCCTCCCCCCACGCCCGCGCGGGCCCCCGCCGCGCCGCCGCGGCAAGAGAAGAGAGACAAGTATGTACTAAAGCCCGGTCTCTGAGCATGTAGAATTTTGTCCAATGACCCCAAGTACCCATCCTTATCGCTCGCGCGTAATTATATTGCTGTCGCGACTGTGCGACGGGCGCCCGCAGTGTGTGCGAGCACAACAGCAATATAATTACGCGCGAGCGAAAAGGATGGGTAGCTTGGGATCAATGGACAAAATTCTACGTGCTCAGCGACCAGACTAGATATAAGCTTTGCTATAACAGTAACCTCGTGCTTTGTTTTAGTTGAACAGTTGCGTAGAGATGGCCCCAATGAATTCCTCAGTAAAATAGTCTGCTAGTCGTGTCGACCTTTAGAAAGAGGCAAAATGCACTGCACTTATTTGTAAAGTTCATTGTGAATGCACTTAGAACTTAGAAGTGTTAGTTTAATTAAATTTTATGTTAAAGCAGTCATCTTAGTAGATGTTCAGACAGAATATTGACTTACTACATCTCTCTCTAGACTAAAATAAGAATTTTGGTTTGATATCTTTCTAAAGGTCGATACTTTTCTTGACCTCTGGGTGTGGTTTCTTTGTTTTATAATTAATGAATTTCTCTTAGTTTGTTTGGAAAGTACTGAGGAATTTGCTTGATAGTAATTTTCTGCTTTCAAATGACATGTAGTTAATTTGCATTTAAAACTAAAGTTAAGTTGGGCTCCTGATAGTTAATCGTTGTTAATATGATTTTTGTGCATGCTTGTTTTAGTGTGGATAATGCTTAACTTCTTATCTACAGTGTTATGTATAAGGTTATGGTGCTGAAAAAGGGGGTATAGGAATAAAATATTTGTTCTTACAGAAAACCTGAAGAGGATAGCCCTAAGAGCATTACAGTACAAAATGTAAATAAATACGGGAATAACTCTAGAAAGAGTCAAGTGTTCGAATCCACTAGGCACAATGTGGACAAGGACGAGTTTGACACGACAGAAAAAGTTAAAAAGTCACACAAGTATCAGTAAGTTGAGATTGTATTTGTCGACATCAAATATCATTAGTAACGGGACATAAGGAACATGATCAGTGTCAAGTTTGTTCGTCCTCACGGTGTGTACAGTACATTCGGCAGCATATCAGACTGTAATATTGTTCCAAACAGCATCTCTTACAACGAAATAAAATATTATTTTTCAGTATTTAGCTTGATATGCTGTCTGTATGGTACTCGTGTCGCTATGTCGTATACCAGGACTGCATGCCGTAAATAAATTATCAGTAGCATAATTGCATCCATCCACTGCTTCTTCTGCATCATGTTTGGGTTAATAGATTGGTATTTATTGTGGTGGTGTTTAGCAAAAATATGTAACTGCCTACAACTCGTCATCATTATGCAAATTATGTTAACAATCTTGGAACAGGTTATTAATATCAAATTTCTGCATACCTAACTGAATTTAAAACAGCCTATTAGGCGCAGTACTTAGTACAAAGTTACAGGTCGACAAGTGTAGCTCCACAACGATCTGTGTAGTGGTCCCGCCGGTTTCTCAACGACAACTTATACTAGTCACTAGGATCATCAGCTCAACAGTCTCATAATTAGGAATTTGAGTTACGCTGCTCAATCTCGCAGCTGTAAAGCCTTGATCACACCTACCGAGTGGATGGGCGAGACAGGTAAAATGATACTAGGCCGAGAGATTTGGGTGAATCGTCGAGTATCTGTCTCGCCAAAAAACTCGGCCGAGCGCACTCGGCGTAATGTTCATACACACCGAGTACTCGGCCGAAAGCAGTGTCTCGCCCGTTTGCTCGGTATGTGTGATCAAGGCATTAGTGTAAAGATAAATGATTACATTCAGAATAGGGCTTATTCCACTATTCCCCATTAACACTTCCCGTCAGTTCTTGAGTGGCGACCACGAGCTGGAAGACGTAGCGTGGGCAGGCCTCGCACTAGGTGGACCGACGATCTGGTGAAGGTCGCGGGAGGTACCTGGATGCAAGCGGCGCAGGAGCGGTCTTTGTGGAAATCCTTGGGGGAGGCCTTTGTCCAGCAGTGGACGTCTTTCGGCTGAAACGAACGAACTCCCCGTCAACAGGGATTAGTGAACTTTTTGTTCACTATTCCCCGTTAACGCCAATTGGAGCTTATAATGTTAAAAATAAAATCCTATAATAACGGGGAATAGTGAACAAAAAGTTCACTAATCCCCGTTGACGGGGATTGTCAACGAGGAATAGTGGAATAAGCCCAGAATAGTCACTTCCATGTTCCCGGTGATAAGTTTAGCAGTCGCTATCTTACACGAGTGTAACAATGTGGCTTGGTATGCAGATTGGAGGCAGAGGGCAAGAGCACGTCGCCCAAGGGCGGCTGCGTGGGCGGGCGGCGCGAGGACGGCTGGAAGGAGGTCGTGCGCAAGTCCAGCGTGCAGACGCTGTCCACCGTCGAGCCGGGGTGAGTCATAATAGCAACTATATTTTAAAATCTCAGTGAGACACTTTTACAGAGGATTTGATTTTATGCCTATGTGTAATAACTTTGGGGTCACGAAATACAAGCAGAGAAATATAATAAAATGTTGGAAAATCACATGATGTTCAAATGAATGCTCGTGTTAAAATCTGTCAAACTCCATGCAAAAGGCACCGGTTATTGTAACGGTTAAAATTAGGTGGTGCAACTCAGCCTAATAGTCCATCGTTTGACGAGGTTCTTTGAACCTCGAATCGGCAGTACGACACCGACACCGTCAGGTTATTCTCGCCTGTCTCGCAAATTATTATAAAACTGACTTGATACGTTTTCCACGTGATCTGATTCTCGAATCAACAGTGCAACACCGACACCGGTGGCCTATTGTCGCATAAACTGACTTGATGATACTTTTCACAGCTGCAAGAAAGTGTCTGTGGCGTCGCACGCCATCTCGCGGGTGATCGGGCGCGCGGGCAGCAACATCAACGCCATCCGCGCCGCCACCGGCGCGCACATCGAGGTCGACAAGCAGAGCAAGGGCCAGGGCGAGCGCATCATCACCATCAAGTGAGTGATAATATCGCACGATTTTACATATTGTTTGCAACATGATTAGTACTAAGTTTGTAACAGGACGTCGCTGCATAGTGCCAAAACAGCGCGCACGCGCAGACGATTTATCACCATAAGATGTTCATTTGTTTTCGAGACATTTGCTTTTTGTTTGATAGTGAGAAGCCACACGGCATCGTCTTGCTCAATCGAAGTGCGGTGTGCCTACGGTGCGGTGCCGGAGCTCACCGTCTGGAATCATATCATTGATTTTTATATGCAGGACGCCGCAGCGACATCGGCGCCGCGCCGCGACCGTACCGCACCGTGTGGCTTCTCCCTCAGTCGTTTTTGTAATCACTTTGCATGACTTCTTGCATTGCGATCTAACAAATAACGGCGACTGAAGATTGAGATTGGGAGGAGACCCCAAACAATAGCAAAAAGATAAATCATCAAGTTGGCCGGGCTGATGATTCTAAAGTCAAGACTAACATAATATTAAATTCCCAGGGGCTCAGCGGAGGCCACGAAGCAGGCGGGCTCGCTGATCGCGGCCATGATCCGCGACCCCGAGGCGGACATCGCGGCGCTGCTGCCGCCCAAGCCCGCCAAGCAGCCGCCGCCGCAGCCGCAGCCGCCGCAGCCCAAGCCGCCCAAGCAGCCGCCGCCCAAGGTAACTATAACATACTAAAGCCCGGTCTGTGAGCACGTAGAATTTTGTCCAATGACCCCTAGCTACCCATCCTTATCGCTCGCGCGTCATTATATCGTCGGCGGTGTAGTGGTTCGATACGGACTACTATTCCAGAGGTTGCGGGTTCGATTCCCGCACAGTACAAACATTTGTGTGCATGAACATAATTGTTTGTATTGGACTGGGTGTTTTCTATGTATAATATGTATGTATTTACAAAAAAAAAGTATTTAAGTATGTTTATCCCGTCGTCTAGTACCCATAGTACAAGCTTTGCTTAGTTTGGGACTAGAGACGCAGTGTAAAATGTCCAAGGATATTTATTATTATTATTTTATACTATTCTTATCTAAACTTCCATGCCTATTATGATTAGGATAATTAGTACCTCTATCTGCATGTTACCTTAATAAGTTTCAAACATGGTATAGAGAAAGTTCAAGATCAAGACCCAAGGATAAACAGAGTATCAAAGGGAGACATGTGTGCGATAAAGTATTGCTGTGGAAAACCGAAATTCACGGGTAGAAGTCGCGGGCAAGAACTTTGTTCTTTAAATTATTCTTGGATAATTATAATCATAGTTTACAGGCGTAGGATGTAGATTTTCTGCAATTTCACTTACAAAGCGCTCTTTTTCTAACTTGTTTATTCGCTTTATTATGTAAACTTTCATGGTCACTAACATTACAATAGTTATCTACAGGATTGCTTACGCCCGTATTCACAAACCTTACTATGAGGTCTCACAGTGCGCGTGGACGCATAAGGTGACACACGAACCAATCACAGAGCTTTATTCATCGCTCTGCGTTGGATTTGCTGCTTCACTTAAGCGAGCATCGTTTGTGAATACGGGCGTTACTCCACTACTATAGTCTATCCAATATAGCTTGATTAGAATGACGGCTGTCAAACGAATGTGACTAGTGCTGGGTATGTTTCGTACGGTTCACATAGATGTATCGATAAGTTTTCGAAAAAATGATATAAATATGCACCCAATTTTTCTTCGTATCTTTATTCATAAAAATGACAATTATGATTTAAATTTAAAGACAGTAAAATTAAAAATTCATGTCAAGGGTGTACAACCTAATTCGTAGTCATTATCATCAGTGTTCTTCAGTGGTTTTTTCCTCTCGCTAGAGGGCGGTGGGTATCTCTTCTAGAGCAACGGTGCTATGAATACCCAAAAAATTACCGGTGATTGATTTCCGATGTTTGATTATTTAAGAATGAAATGTTTTTTGGTTTTTAATAGTGAAAATTTAGAAAAACGAATAACTTGACTTAAATATGTTAAAAAATTTGTTTTAATTTAATATGACATTTGTCGATATGTCCCAACACTAACATTTTTGTAATTCGAGATAACCTTGTAGAGACGTCGTTAATACTCTAGCTTGATTTTTATAATTTCGAATTACTACTTATTGGTGTAATTTAACGCTGCATTTACACGAAATTAACATTTTTATTGGAAGCACTGTCGTCGAAAATATTGTTTGTAGGTCAGACGTGAGTTATTTCTTGTCCGCCAATATTTAGCTCTCATTGATCGCTACTACAAAGTTATGTCGTTACTTTTGATGGCAGCTGTCATTCTAATCAAGCTATATTGGATAGACTATAACTCAGCGTCTTTGAGGACGGGTTATGAGCTTGTTGATTGATTCTCCAGCAGGGCAGCAGCGTGAGCGCGAGCGCCAGCAGCCGCAGCACGCCGACGGCGCGCGCGCCCGCCGCCACCAAGCAGCACGCCACCACCGCGCGCCCGCCGCAGCTGCGTCTGCACGGTCAGTAACTACACTCAACATCAAACAAATCGCACCTTCCGCGACGCGAACTTTAAAGATTTTCTTCTGACACAATCATGGTGCCCCAACAATATTGGTGTTATTTGAAAGCCCAATAAATATTGTACGAAGTACAGTGCATTCAACTCGCCCGTAAGCGTGCGGTCAGCATTTACCAATCTGACCCAATTTTAACCTTTTCATTATTTTAATATCTTTAAGTTAGTTCGCGTTCGGTTACCATCGCCGCGTGTACTCAGCATACCATTTAACCATTTTTAACCATTTTACAAATATTCATACTTATTAATTTGTTGGACTTACACCCGACAAATATCCTTAAAGAAAAACTCATTTTTTTTTTTTATAAACAATTAACTGGAATACCATAAATGTGACTTGAAAAAAAGCACTTGGGGCTCACCCATGGGACCAAGTAGACTAATTTTTGTGGTTATAAAACCAAATAATGATCATATGTGTCCTTTTTAACAGATGGATAGCAATTAATCCCAATTTAACAGTTTTATAGCCATAAAAGTTGGCCCAAGCGTAACTACCTATTTCTTGAAGAAGTGACTCTGGATCCTTCTAAAGATACATTTTTGGGGTAAAAACCTTTCCTTTAATGAAATGAAGTTTAGAACTATGCTTTCAAATGGTACCAATGTTAGTGAGAAGTGGGGTTGCATACGTTTGATAACTGTTTGTCGCGGGAGGTGCGATTTATTTGATGCCGAGTGTAATAACAGAGTAAATACAAATGAGTAGGTCATCTTCATAGAAACGCACCGAGCGCGGTTTGTATGTGAGCGCTCCAATATACGTATGCGGCGCGCACGCACACACTGACAAAATTCGGCGCAACTCCCCGCTAATCCACGCTAAATTTTGTCAGTGTGTGCGTGCGTGCGCGCCGCATACGTATTGGCGCGCTCACATACAACCGCGCCCGGTGCGTTTCTATGAAGATAACCTACTCATTTGTATTTACTCTTCTAATAACGATTAATGTGACGTGACGTGACGACGTTATTCATAAGTTGGACCCATATAGCGCGAGATGCCCGCCCAAGGCGTCTTGGTTTCTAGTTCACAAGGCACCGTCCCACTAAGCGGGAAAGGATTGAACACCCCAGGTTTTTAGTAGAGCTCTGGCGGTAGATGAGGATGGATAGCATTTTTCCTGGGTTCAAAAATGTACACGCAAGTGGCCTTGTGTCAGGATTTTGTGTGAGGTTTGATAATTTGACGATCTATAAACATTTACATGTCAATTGATTGTCCTGTTGTATGTCTAATCTTGGCCACTGCCTTCCTGTATGAGTCACTTGGAATATAACCAGAGTAAATACAAATGAGTAGGAGGTCATCTACATAGAAACGCCCGAGCGCGGTTTGTTTGTATGTGAGCGCGCCAATACGTATGCGGCGCGCACGCACACACTGACAAACTTCAGCGCACCTCACTGCTAATCCACGCTAAATTTTGTCAGTATATGCGTGCGCGCCGCATACGATTGGCGCGCGCTCACATAATTATATAATTTATGATTTGATGTTAATTATTATCTTGTCTTACTCCTGATCTTCTCCACCCCTTTCTGTAAGTTACGTACTACAACTTAATTTTCATCCAACAGTGGCAGTAGGCGAGAAGCGCGCGTCGTCATCCGGCGCTAGCGGCAACGTACCAGCGCCAGCCGCTAAGCCCACGCTATCCTATACCGGAGCCATCGTAGGCGCGCGCTCCCACACCTTCGCTGCTAAACTTACGGCCACCGCGCCAGCCGCGTCCGCGCCCGTAGCGCCGCCTACACCCGCGCCCGCGCCGCAGCCCGCTGAGAAACGACCCACGCTGCAGGTATGTTGACTATTAGCATTACAATAAGGTTTAAAATACGTTAGCAAGTATAGGCATGGGCACTATCGATGGCGCGCGCTCCCTTACTTCGCGGCCAAGCTTACGGCCACTGCGCCAGCCGCGTCCGCGCCCGTAGCGCCGCCCGCGCCAACACCCGCGCCGCAGCCCGCTGAGAAACGACCCACGCTGCAGGTATGTTGACTATTGACCTTAGAATAAGGTTTAAAATACGCTAGCAAGTATAGACATGGGCACTATCGATGGCGCGCGCTCCCACACCTTCGCTGCTAAACTCACGGCCACCGCGCCAGCCGCGTCCGCACCCGTAGCGCCGCCCGCGCCTGCTACCGCGCCGCAGCCCGCTGAGAAACGACACACGCTGCAGGTATGTTGATTATTAGCATAAGAATAAGGTTTAAAATAAACTGGCGCCATCGTGGGCGCGCGCTCGGAAAGCTCACCACCACTGCGCCTGCGGGCGATGACACGTTCTGCAAGTACGTGAATAATAAAAAAATGGTGGCCACGCCGTTGCACTCGATGGGCGATGTAGATTAGTTATAGCTGCCGCAACCATAGAAGATGCATACTTATTCCAGCAGAGTCATTTTGGTGTTGAACGTAGATTTCATATTATTCATGCAGCGATCTTTGTATTGAGTTACATTTACGTATATCATCGCATCAGTTTTTTCTTTATTTCCAATACAAAGGTGTGGTCGTCACTCGACAATCTGTTCTACAGACACTGAAACACTGTTTTGTCTATAACATATAGATCGACTATGCTATTTCTTGAAACATAAAAAGTATTTTCAGGAACTCGATCGGCTTCATTTGTCATAAAATTATCACTGTCACTTGTATAACGGTAAACCAGATATTTACCCTCCCGACGTTTCAACTCGGTTGCATTATTCATGGTCGCGGGCAGACTGAAGAGATGCGCATTCATTTGTCATGTCATAAAAATGTCTAAAAGAAAAACTTGTCTAATTCGTCAATGTCGTACAGCTCAGCAGCCCGGCGAGCAGCACGAGCGCGTGTGGCGGCGTGTCCCCGCTGAAGGCGCGCGAGTCGCCGCCGCCGCGCGCCGACGACGCCGAGCCGCCCGCGCCCGCCACGCCCGCCGCCGCCGAGCGGCCGCCGCAGGTACAGAACATTAATAGGGCTAGCACTTTGCCTTGAGTTGCTTTTGTTCTACAAAGACCTAAAGTCTTGACCTCCTCGTAAAGTAAATAATAAATTAATTCTTTATTTCTTTCTCTCACACAGATCAGTATCATACTTAGGAAATAACATTTCGGATAATACAGTGTGAGTCACGTTAAAGTGTACATATGAAAATAGATGAAACTAGACCTATTTTTATCGACAAAAAAGAGGTCAAAATTTTTTTGAGATTTTTTTTTTTTAATTTTTTATAGAATTTTTTTTCTTCCAATTACTTATTGTAAAGAAAACGTAATAACTTTTAAAATAAGCGGTATATCCTGATAAAATAAAAACAGTAATAATGCTAAATAACAGGCGATACTAAAAAAATACATAAAATACACAAAAAAGGCCAACAAATACTAAAAAATGATACTTTTTGAAAAAAATCTGCTTTTAAATTCGTGTTTTTTTGGTTATTTGATAAATTTCTCCAAAAAATGCCCCTATAACCGGTGGTTTTTATTACTTTGTATTATTTTTTGTGTATTTTATGTATTTTTTTAGTATCGCCTGTTATTTAGCATTATTGCTGTTTTTATTTTATCAGGATATACCGCTTAGTTTAAAAGTTATTACGTTTTTTTTACAATAAGTAATTGGAAGAAAAAAAAATTCTATAAAAAATTAAAAAAAAATCTCAAAAATTTTTTGACCTCTTTTTTGTCGACAAAAATAGGTCTCGTTTCATCTATTTTCATATGTACACTTTTACGTGACTCACACTGTATATCTGTTTAACTATAGATCAGCATTGTGAAGCTGACCGTAAAAGTCGTAATGACCTCGTAAAGAACACATACATGATGAAATTTTTGATTACCTTTATTGTGCTACAAAGACTCCAGTTTATATTATATTGTATTGTAACTGTATGTTTCCCAAAAATATATAAATAAGTAGAATTAGAAGAGAAAGGTCAACCTGTACTTAGGCACACAGGAATTGGGCAATGCCCAGAATTTAATAGAAATTGCTGCGTCGACTAGAATAAAGCTCTTAGTATGAGTGAATGTATCTGTTCTACAAGGTGATCCATAAACAATGGATAACTCTAATAGACTTCATGATCTCACTGTTTACTTGATCGGTATTACTGATGTTGTATTTTTTTGTTTGTAGCTAAGCCCTGATAATTCAAGCTCATGGAGCGACAATCAAGAGAATACATCGAATCCCTCTACAGCGCTGCACATCAACACCACGCCACAGGTCAGTATCAAAAGTATGAAATCATACTGACAGTAATTACCTAACTATAGCTATTTTTCAGTGGCGCTTAAATTCTAAGTTAGGGAATCAACATGTTTCTGAGTTAAATAAGACAATGTAAAGCCAATGGAATCCTCCAGTTTGTCCAATTCCAGAGTCGTGCTCCTGTAGTAGCGACTAAATAAGCTGATGACAAAACTAAAGACTTAAAATGATATCTATCGTTTTAACGCTCACCTGTTACTGTAAAAGGACCTGTCACGGGCCAGTGGTGCCAACTTTACATAATTTATTTGGCCCTGGCCTATAGCACGAATCTGTAATGTTCGAAATGTTAACACAAACTGTTGTTTCAGGCACCGGGCAGCGGCGGCGGCGGCGCGCAGGAGTACTCGCTGTTCAAGGACCTGTCGGCGGCCGGGGGCGGCATGTGGGCCGCCGACCACAGCGTCGAGCCGCCGCCGCAGGTCAGTCGCAGCGCGCTGCATGTACGTCGCCTCACTCTTTACTATATCTATTTTATCTAAGTACTTGCTAGTGCGATCGATATAAACTCTGAAGATGGTCGAAGGGACTCCAACTCCAAAGCTAAATAAAATCATAGCTTTTCGAATTTTCTCTCTAAAGAATAATAATTTGTTTCTAAGATCACTTAAGAGATTCCTGCCAGGCTAGGGTGCCCGCCGTGATAAAATCTCATCGATGATTTTAGACGTCGCGTGGCCATAAAAGATTAGCGGGGCGCATCTTAGGCCTACAGAGGACTAATCACAGCTTATTCGAATAGTCTCTATAGAATAAAAATAAAATCTATCTCTGTCTTCAATTTTAATAATTATACAGCCTACTGTTTCGAATTGCTGCTTTCGAACTGTTGTATATGGATATGGTTTATAGTTCCCTAAGTTTTGTAAAGGAAAATTGATGTTGCAGTACGATAAGAAACAAATCGGGTCTTACCCGGTCTTCTCTGCGCTTTTTGGTCCGGTTTCCAACAAAGCGGAGATGAGATGATATTACCGAACCAAATCTAAGCAAGGAGGTGGAAATAATGAAATCGGATTGGTTGTTCAAAAACATCTCTTCTCTTCGCTTTGGTGGAAACCGGGCCTCATTCAAAACCGCTAGGCTCACGCACGCTACGTGGAACTCTCATTTTTATGTATGCGTGATGAGTGAGACAGCGAGTTAACGATAACTTCTAAACTACGAAAAATCGTAGAACATACATGGGGGTGAAATCGATAGGTCTAGTCCTCACCTATCACCTGCTTTTGGTTTATGAGTATGTGTGATAACAGAGACATAGTGGTAGAGTTCATGCTGTCCATCCGGGACAGGAAAACTTAGGGTAATAACGCTTAAAACGAAAAATGGTACTATGAAGCGCCCAATATCTAACTTGTGTCTGCTTCCAATAGAGACTGATATGTAAATAGGTATAGGATAGGATAAGTACTCCAAGGTAGTTGAATAGTTTGAGTTTTAAGTTACTTATGTTTGTTTTGTTAGATAAGGAAGGATTTTAAGGCTTGGCTGTCTGAGTTGATGTAGATGTGTTGATCCCGGAGCCTCCTTTCCAAGATTCTGCCATACAGAAGAAGAAACGGCCATGCATGTTCTTTGCTCATGCGGCCCGCTTATGAGTAAAAGAAGTATCCATCTCGGGCGACACATCATGCACCCGGATGAGATAGCAGATATCACGCTCCAAAGAATCTGGAAATTTATAGACTCAACGGGACTAAGCAGTGAACTCTAAAGACAAGGGCTGCCACAATAGATCAAACCTGGTCGAGCTGGCGCAAATGAAGGCCCAAAACCAATAATAATAATCTATATATATAAAAGAAAGTCGTGTTAGTTACTCCACTTATAACTCAAGAACGGCTGAACCGATTTAGCTGAAAATTGTCAGGGAGGTAGTTTAGAGCCAGGAGAAGGACATAGGATACTTTTTATCCCGTTCAAAATTAAAAAAAAAGTCTGCTTATTTATTGCCATTAAGGCGGAACAAAGTTCGCCGGGTCAGCTAGTCTATACTAATATTATAAAGCTGAAGTTGTGGAACATGACGCTCAACCACCATAAGGAGTTAGAGCATTTAATTTACACAATCTTGGTTTGTCTATATATACTGGGCAGGGTAAAAAACTTCGTCACCGCGATGCAGGATTGTATGCGCGGTGGAGTTTGCCATAGTAAGATCGTAACAGCGCCATCTGTTGGTACGGTTTGTAGTGGCGCAATTTATTAATCACAGTTTGTTTATTTGGTTGAACGCGCTAATCTCAGGAACTACTGGACCAATTTGAAAAATTCTTTTTGTGTTGGATAGTCCGTTAATCCCTGAAGGCTTTAGGCTATATATCATCACGCTAAGACCACTAGGAGCGGAGCACCAATGAAGAATGTTTCAAATCAGTGATTTTTTTCCTTTTGAGAGCTGACGCTGCGTAAACGGTTAAAGTTTCGCATAAATTATGTATGATAGGATTTTCCCCTTTAAAAGTTCTACAAAAAAGTCCGCTACAGCATATGTCTATCTTTTATGGTTGGCTCACTGTAACCTTTTTGTCTGGATGTCTGGATGTTTGTTCCTCTTTCACGCAAAAACTAATAAACGGATTTTGTTGAAACTTTACAGTATTATTATTTATAACCCAGGCTAATATATAGGCTACAATTTATGACGATATGTGACAAACTAAATTTCAATAAATAGTTAAGAGGTGAGAAATATCCTTAAAAACGCCATCTATCGACGTGCTTTTGACGGGGCGGCGCGGGCTGGGGCGAGGAGGAGGAGCGCAAGCCGCGGCCCATCGGCACCGAGCGCGCCTGGAAGCTGACGGCCGGCGACGACTGGCCGCACCCGCACCACCCGCACCATCCGCACCACCCGCACACGGACCACGACCGGTACCAGGTCAGTGGAGATATTGTATTGATGGGGGCCCGGTGGCGGCGCGGGCTGGGGCGAGGAGGAGGAGCGCAAGCCGCGGCCCATCGGCACCGAGCGCGCCTGGAAGCTGACGGCCGGCGACGACTGGCCGCACCCGCACCACCCGCACCATCCGCACCACCCGCACACGGACCACGACCGGTACCAGGTCAGTGGAGATATTGTATTGATGGGGGCCCGGTGGCGGCGCGGGCTGGGGCGAGGAGGAGGAGCGCAAGCCGCGGCCCATCGGCACCGAGCGCGCCTGGAAGCTGACGGCCGGCGACGACTGGCCGCACCCGCACCACCCGCACCATCCGCACCACCCGCACACGGACCACGACCGGTACCAGGTCAGTGGAGATATTGTATTGATGGGGGCCCGGTGGCGGCGCGGGCTGGGGCGAGGAGGAGGAGCGCAAGCCGCGGCCCATCGGCACCGAGCGCGCCTGGAAGCTGACGGCCGGCGACGACTGGCCGCACCCGCACCACCCGCACCATCCGCACCACCCGCACACGGACCACGACCGGTACCAGGTGCGTTGAACATGGTGCATTTTTATTAGGCCTAATCCACCATTTTATTTGTCTTTGGTAAATTAGAGGTTCTGGAGTGGAGGCCACGTACCGGAAAACGCAGCGTGGGACGTCCATCCACAATGTGGACCGATAACCTGATAAAGGCAGCAGGAAGGCGCTGGATGCAGGCCGCTAACAACAGTGCGATGTCATTGAGGGAGGCCTATGTTCAGTAACGAAAGTTGTGGTGTTAATGTAAAGCGAGGTTCAGACTAGCAATAAAACTTGCAGAAATTGACTTCTGAACG